ACAAAGATCTTTGTAAGCGTGAAAGTGCCTTGACCCCATTTCAAATAAATAGGACCAAATTCTTGGTGGGAATTTAGCCCTTAGTATTGAAAAGTACACCAGAGAAAGAAAACCTGTGATGCAGTTATGGTGACTGAGAAAATTTAGTAAAATTTTAGCCTATGCCCAAGAGAATTTGGAAAATGTATAACTGAACAAGTGAAAAGGCCAAAGCATACCAATCCCAATGAAAGATGGAGAGCTAAATTAAAATAAACTTTCACTGGATATCTAAAATTGCAATTTGCATCCAACAACAAAACATTGTTTGTCATTGGTATATAGTGGAGACAATAAAAACTGACTTCAGATACGTGACCTCTCTAAAGTTCTAAAAAACATGCACAAGGCTATTCTGTATCACTTGCTGTATTTTGCCCCCTAATTAAATGTGTTAGGATCTGAGCCTGTGAAGTATTGAGTGGCCTCTATGATAGATATGGGGGTGTCTTGCCATATCCTTGGAAGACCATATTAAATTAAATATCTTTGGGGTCTATTATATTAAATGAATGATTAATGTATCATTGTGGGCTGGGACTGTATGTAACCTCTTTTTGGTGTGTGGGTGTGGTGGTGGTGGTAACTATGACAGATGGGAGACCTGGGAGTTCAAAGGACTATACTGAAAATGTGCCAGACAAGACAAGAATTTTTGGGCATAGTAAGTGGTAAGAGGATTTCCTGGGGGATACCTAGGGAGAGGTTAATGCAAATTTCCTACCTCTGATTATGAAACAATCCAGCCTTTTGAACTTACACCCTGAGAAGAAGGTGATTGTCTACTGATTAACTGTTCCTGGAAACTGGTGATCAGAGGTCCAAGCTGTATAAAAAATGGCTGAACTGCCCAACTTGTGTTCTGGTTCTGAATCTGAACCTATAGCCATGGGAAAAACCCAGTTGTGGGTTTTGAAGGACTGACACCTACCAGATCCTGAGGTTAGAGTTGGGGTGACCTCTGGTAAGATTTTTAGCACACATCAAGTTCTTTTAGTGTTTTGATGTTTTCTCTGGAATGCTTTCATCTTAAGAATAAATATCCTTGCTTAGAAAGAGCAGTGTGGTGACTTGCAATTATTGGCAACTACACTGTTCATAGCCTTCAGAGAGAAAGCAAAGCACAGATGCTGGCCTTTTTAGGCAGTCTGGCTTGGTATCACAGTGTAGGCTGGGAACTGTGCAGCCTTAAAAAACCCTGGTCAGGAGGGAGAGAGAGATGTGGGTCTCCACCCAAGAGAGGTGATAGCTGGGAGCTGGAAACTTTTAAGCATGTGCCCTTGAGGGACCACAAAGGAGGAATACAGGCACAGTTACCCTGAAACTGACACACCCTCAATTCTCCATTATGTCAAAGAGAATTGATGTAACACACCATGGAATACTCAGCAGCTTGCAAGAGCAGCCCAGAGTTAAATCCTTATTTTGCTGATGTCAATGAGTTTTGTGAAGTAGGATCAAGGCTAATGCACTTGACTATAAACCTGTTGTCAGGTGCTGAATACAAATGGTATAGCATTTTTAGCAGTTGATTACGTTTTCCAATAGTATGTTCTATTTTCTGTGAGAGAGAACTGTGTATTTCTTTATGTACATCACTAAAACATTTGTCTTATGAAGCACACTATTATTTAGGATTGAGCAACATTGAGAACAGAAAACGACTTACGTAAAAAGTAAAGAGCCAGTCTTCAAAGGTGCAAATGTGTGAAGCATCTTAGTCATAAAACAGCTGATGGCACTTCCTTTCTAATCAGTGCATCCACCAGCCCTAATCATTTGATGTTTCTAGTCTATGAAATTTGTTGCTATGTTTCTGGTAGTAAAATACCCAGATCTGAAAGTAATGTTCCAGGTGTAGTCCTACCAGAGCCATATATATAAGGACAATTATTATCTCCCCACTCCCATCCCACAATGATCCATTAAGCAAGAACTCTGTTTATGCACCTCAAAACACAATGGCTTTTTTTCTGTCACACTGCACTGCACATTCATTACTAATTTGCTGGCCATTACTATCTCTTTCAGAATTACTGCTATCTAGGTTCTCCTTAACATTCAAAACATGTGTTTCAGGTTATTGACCCCAACTTTCATATTTCTAACTCACTATGTTAGTCTTTGTCCATATTTCTAATTTTTCTTGGGCCTCTCTGTATAATATCTGTCTCTCTGATATTTGTATCTCTTCCCAACTTAGCATTGCTATTCCCTCTCCATTCCAGACCTAAAAGAAGATGTTAAGTAGACTTGGCCTTATACTCATGCATGTTGTACCCCACTAGAGAGTTCCCTTCAGTGAAATATAGTACTGTTTATACTATGTAATAACAATTAATTTATGGTCCTTCACACAGATTTCAAGCAAAATATGGCAGTTTCCATCAGTCAATTTGAATTACAATTTTCAATATGATTTTGTGAGACATTATCACATGCTTTCCTAAAATCCAAATGAATTTCATGTAGTTCTTTCAAGAAAGCAACCAAGTTTGTCAAGATTTAGTCTTTCTAACATGTTTGTTGCTTATTACTTACCCTCTAGCTGTCTAGTGATTTTTCTTTTGACATTTACTACATTATTTTCCTAAAGGGTGAAGTTAGACTACCTAAGTATTTGTGTATGAAAGAGTAAGTGCTGGGACCACTCTTCCTTTCTTTTTTTAAAGGTTGGTACCACGTTTGCTTTTATTCACTCTTCCAGTATCATTGTGGTTCTCTAGGGCTTTTAAAAATAATGAAGACAGTTATGTGGTGTACAGAAAGTTTGTTAGCTAATTCCTATACTATCCTTAGAAATGCTGTGACTCAGAGACTCCTTGGCAAAGGGTCCCCTGTTCTTTGCAAACAGCTCTCACCTCAGACTTGAAAAACTCACTACACAAACATGTCTTACAGGATATTTACCCATAAAGAGCAACATGTAAGATAGCTATAGAAAGCTTGTAACTTGTCAAGACTCATAATGGTTGTGAGATGTATGTTTGGGTAACATTTAAGGAATAATATATTTATATTGAAAGTATGCTTTATGGACTTGAAGTAGAAATTAGTCACCAGGTGGTAATGTGTTTTGGTGATGACCCATCCAAGCAAGAGGAAGTTGTCACCTCTCCCTAGTCAGCTGGTGAGGTAAATGCAAGGTTGTATTGTCCACCCTTGCCACATCTCAGAAAAGTGAATGCAAAACCATAAATCAATGACAGACAATTAAAGCCACTTAATGGTAAAAAGGAACTCTGGAACAAAGCAGGGATTCACCCTGCCTGCAACTAGAAACCCATCAATGGCCTGTGATGGGTTTTTAGATGGGGTAAGATCCAAGTTACCCGGGAAAGAATTTTCTGTAGTATCTGGCTGATGAATCTTGCCCATATGCTCAGGGTTTAGCTGATCGCCATATTTGGGGTCGGGAAGGAATTTTCCTCCAGGGCAGATTGGAAGGCCCTGGAGGTTTTTCGCCTTCCTCTGTAGCATGGGGCACGGGTCACTTGCTGGAGGATTCTCTGCTCCTTGAGGTCTTCAAACTACAATTTGAGGACTTCAATAGCACAGATATAGATGTGAGGTCTTTTTTAGGAGTGGTGGGTGAAATTCTGTGGCCTGCATTGTGCAGGAGGTCAGACTAGATGATCATAATGGTCCCTTCTGGCCTAAATATCTATGAATCTATGAAACAAAAGACTGTTTTCAGTATAAAAGAGTGCTATGAAAGGCACTCTCAATCCATTCACTGAGGAAAACTCCCGGCAGAGGGGGGTGCTTTCATGAACGTTTGGATTATTTGATTTAGTTTTTGAGAAACCAGACAACTATGTCTTAGACTAAACATTGGGACAAAATCTACTATGTTAGATAAGAAAGGCAACTATTGATCATTATAAACCTAGGTTCACATTTTATATTTTATTTTGTATCATATCCATTGTTTCCACCACTCTCTTGTTTCTAGTTAAATCTTTATTCTTTCTTAAATAAACCTACGTTTGCTTTATCCTAAGTGCTCACAAGTCCTGTGTGGTTTACAGGAGTGTTGGTTTAAGGGGAAACTGGGGTACCCTACACACCTTTGGGTGTAGAGGATCTGGAATTTCTGTGAGTATCCAGCATCAGGGGTTAAATATCACAGGGGAACAATTCAAAAGGACTCAGGGATTGGGGTGCACCGATTGTTAACCTGCAATGGAAGGGCTGGCATAAGCCCAGAGGAGAGTGCTTGAGTGGCTGAAATGCTGGTGGTGCTAGGGAGCTGACACCCAGCTTCCACTAGAGGCAGGGGGTAAGAAGCTGACTCACAGTCCTGGGAACTCTGAGAGCCACACACATCAGCTGGACTGACTGTTTTGTTCATATTCAGGTTTTTGAAGAGTTCCCTTACTGGCTTTTGATCAATACTTATTTTATAGGGTCTTCCTTCCTTCCTAACTTTGCAAACTACTTAGTTTTATTTTTCTCATTAAAGGCAAACTTAAAATGTGAGAGCTGCATTTCATGTGTCTAACTGGCTGTAACAGCACTCGGTGTGTGTCCACTGCAGTGTAATGATAGCTGGATTGTACATTGCCAATGTGACTTGTCGAGTAGCCTGCCATTAACTTCACTGTTGTAACGGTGTGTACACCCAAGGTTAAATGTCTTCAGGACAAATTTTCAAAGGGGCCTCAATCAAAGTTGTATTTACATACACCAAACCTTGGGTGTACACAGTCTTGCTCACATATTTTTGAGCAATATGGCTTTAATGTAGCTGTGGTAGTTCACAAAATCCATCTAAGAGGGTTTTGCACACAATAATTCTATCATCATGCGAGTGTTTGCAGAAACAAAATTGTCCACGTGCAAATGAAGGCTACATTTTGCAAATGTGGTTCTTTGTCTCTATAGTTGGCTATTGCAAGACTAAGTCTCACCCCAGACACTGTAGCTCCAGAGATGAGTAGATGTGTATCAGTACTTACAGCTGTCCTCTTCTTCCATGAAAACACTGATCACGTAACAGGCATACACAAAACCAATCAACTGCATGAAAATAAGAGGAAAATAATTTGTTAGTTAGAAAATGTGTTAAAAATACTCAGTAAATACAGCTGCCAAGATTGTATTTCAAAACGTTTTTCTTTCATTTTCTTAATTTAAAAGCAGATTTCAGCACATGGTCATACAAAGACATATTGTACATACCTTTGCTCATGCAGAGCCTTATTCTAACTTCATTTAACTAAAGCAACCCCACTGATTATCTATATGGTTGCACAAGTACCACTGATTGCAAGAATCTGAACCATTATTTTTAACTAGTAACTGCAATTTGAGGAGCGTTCTCTGTCTCTTTTGCACACATGATTCCATTCACATGAACACTAACTACCAAGGCAGACTGGAGTTGAAAGGGCCCTTGCCCATTTGATTCACATTTGAAAAGGACATGTACTTACTGCATGTTAAGTAAATACATAATTAAGTAACTACAGCTTCAGTTAGTATTGCATAAAGTGTCCTATTGCATTTGTGAAACCACTTGACACAAATTTAACTAGGCATTTGAAAGTTTGCAATGCAATTTAATTGCAAAGGCCATATTACAATTCACCAACTTCAGGAAAGACTTTATCAGGGAGGCCTGTAAGTTAGACTCATTGTAAAATAAAAGAAATAGTCTCATTACCCAAAACGGCAAACCATAAATGTATTGCCACTATATTAATAGGGGCTCCCACAAAAATATTGCCCTCAGCCAGTGTTCCAGCGTGACTTGTGCTCTAGAGAGGAAGGATGAGGGACTAGGGCCTCTCGCCATTTGCTTCCCCATGTAGCCAAAATATTTTCTTATATTTATAATAAAGGAATGAGACAATTCCACTGCTCAAATATACCCATTAAACTGTACTGCCCTAGAAATCTATATTCTCTATTCTTGAGAAAATATGCTGAGTATATAGATAACATAGCCAAGTGTTCAACCTGTTTAATATGAAATCCTTGTAGAAATGTTGGGGGTTACCCTCCTCTGGGATTTTTTTTTAAAGATACCTGCAATCTGGTCCATTTCTAACATAAAATTGCTCTTCACACTCATTTATGAGGCCCAAGAATAAGCTGTTTCAAACAGAGATAATTTAACAGGATCCAGACAGGGGTAAGCTACATTTGAGGCAAGAAATCATGCCACCCTGCCTTTTACTTCGGTTGTGCCAGCATCTTTACAAGCAATACCAAGGAGCCTGCTCAAAGACAAAGAGGAGTAGAATTTCACTTTTGTTTACGACAGGTTTCAGAGTAGAAGCCCCTACTGTTCCTCACATGTTCTTGTCAACTGCTGGAAATGGCCCACCTTGATTATCACTACAAAAGGTTTTTTTCTCTCCTGCTGGTAATAGCTCACCTTAACTGATCACTCTTGTTACAGTGTGTATGATAACACCCATTGTTTCATGTTCTCTGTGTGTATATATATATATCTATATCTTCCTACTGTATTTTCCACTGCATGCATCCGATGAAGTGGGTTTTAGCCCATGAAAGCTTATGCCCAAATACATTTGTTAGTCTCTAAGGTGCCACAAGTACTCCTGTACTTTTGTTTATGATTTTTCCCAGTCAAATGTGTTCTCTATAAACTATCATCTATATGTGGCACTTGAAGCTAAGTGATAGACATTGTGTGAGGAACTCTCCCTGCTTGTATAGAAGAGAGAATATCAGTCATTTCTACATCACCATCCTTCTTCTCCTTGAAGCCTCCAGAGGGCTCATGCAGGGGACTGGACTTTCGAGGTCCCTTCCAGTCCTATGATTCTATGATTGCAGGTCTCATGATACATAAGAGAGGCATGGGGTCTACTTTTATGTCTTCACCAACCCTGTAGGAAACTCCTTGAGCTGTTATTGAAGCCTGTTGTAATCCTTCACGTGGGTCATTAAATCTGACCCTTAGCATTTCATTTATAGTATTAATACCGTAGGCACTACTTGTGGATGTTTTTTCATTAAAGCAATTTCAGTACAATCTTCAAACAACATTTAATCCAGAAAAAGAGCTTGTTTTTCTGCCATCATCTCTCATATCTAGCTCTCCAGTTGGCCCAATGCTAGAACACACATTGTACGCTACATGACTGGTAAAATCAGGGTAAGATATTTGTGACCTAATTTGCTATATTAATTTTTTTTGTGATATTAAGGATAGGTATTTATGCCTAAAATATGCTATTATCTATAGGAAAGCTCTCAGGTATGATGTTATGTTCAAGCGACAGTAAGCATGGCTGGTTCTCAATTATATAAGAGTTCATGATACAAAACCATTACTGGCACTTTCAAACTGCCGTATAAAAGGGTACAGAGTGTATTATACTGACACCTGCTTAGCAAAAGCACCAATATAAGAAGTCAAGTTTTGTACACTGCCACAGCACTGCTAATAAACTGTCTCCTCAGTTTGCACCATGTAAAAGACACAGGCATGCCCTGAGGTTCTCTCTCCTCTCTCTATTCTCCCCCTCGCCCCCACCTCACACCCCTCCAAGAAAACATACAGTGATACACATTTTGAGCTCAGATCCAAACCTGGTAGTTGTCTTCAACTTCAGAAAACAGAGGGTCAATGCACAAAAGCATTAAGCACTTAGTGTACTAAGTCACTTTGCTGACGTCATAGATGAGGGTCATCAAAGTTATGTATTTTGTGCTACTGGATCATTACTTTAGCCTTAAAAGCCTCCCCAAAACCCTTTATTTAATTGTTTGTTTGTTTTTTTCCCTTGCACACAGGGCAAGCAGTATTCTATAGCAATCTCAGAAAAACTTTAGATTGCCATAAGCACCTTAAGAGCAGTATATTGATGATATTGCTAGTCCTGCATGACTAGAAGTGGTCTCAGGGAAGTGCAGTCTGTCCTTCCAGCATACCCATTGATTCCAAGATTTTCCACTCACCATGCCCACAATCACTGCTCCCACCGTGTTCCCACTGCTCCTCCCATATTTCTTAAACTCCATATCTGACCACGTCTAAGTCAAACTCCACATCTCAAACACTGCATTCCAGTGAGTCAGTAATGAACCAAGGTTTCTGTATGGTGTGTAAGGGCACTGTACTGCTGGAGAGTCTAGCAATTTTGTTTTGTCTTTTATAATAAGTTATTCTACAAGAAAAAGAAACACCTACACATTTAAAGTTCTTCGGCAAATTAACTAGCAATGGGAATTCAGAAGGTGCAGATGATGATAATGGGTGTGGAAAGGCACTGTGCTGCTGGAGAGTACAGCTATTTTGTTTTGTTATTTATAAGTTATTCTACAAAAAAAAAGAAACAACTCCACATTTAAAATTCTCAGGAAATTAACTAGAGATGATGAATTCAGAAGGTGCAGGTGATGATAATGGGTGTGCAGCGGAGCCCACACTACAATTTCCTCCATGTCTGGAAACCTCTGGTTGTGCTGTACAAATTTCAGCATATGGTGTGCTCATCAACTTCCCTTTGATTGTTGGCTATTCATTATTTGTGTTGTGTGATGTGGTCACCTAAGTCATTTGGTTTTATTTCTGCACCCAAAAATTGTTTGAATAAGAGAATAATGACTAAAGGATGCCCAACAGCATGCATTTCCTGTATACACGTCCAGAGGAATAATCATTTGTGGGAAAAATTGTGAACCATGTATGATTTGAAGACATTTACATAAATAAGCTGTGATGTCCAGTTGTCAAGAACAGTGAATAATATGACACTACAAATAACAGAGCATTTTTTTGTATTATACAATCAGTTCTAATTGTTAGGGGGCTTATTCCTTCACCCACTTACTTCTCTGGTCCTTCTCGCATGAATAGAGAGCAACAATACCCAAAGTCCAAAGGTGCAAACAATTCGATGTTTATTGGAGTAAACTTCCAGCAAGCATGATTCCAGTTTCCTTCCTTAGTGTCCCCCTTCCCAGTTCTGACACCACAGAGCCTTGCCTGTGTCCCTGTTCCCATCCCCCCCTTAGCAAAACATGATTCCAATTCCCCACCCCCATTCCCATTCCGCCCCACCCACACAATTCCTGATTGATTGCAGACTATATAGTAAAACTTGAGTTCTGTTTAGCTATACCTTAACCAATCATTTTACTGAAATTTAACTAACCAATCCTAACATATTGTAACATGATTAGTTAACCAGTTATATCCCACCACCTTAATTAGTTTAGACCCAGCAAAATTAATTATACAGCAGACAGAAACAATCACAGAACCAGACAGACACCATGCAAATAAACAATAGCAAAGTGGAAACTATAATGACAAAACAATACAGAAGTGAGGATTTCACAACTACATCTATAAAGACATAAGGGTTTCCCAGCTGTGTCTATTGATAAGTGAGTTCTTGCCAGACAGGATGCTATCAAACTAAGTTTCCTTTTACATCTTCTAGGCACTTCCCTTTCTCTGGAGGTGATAGGCACTATCAGGACAGGATTGTATTCCTAACAGCCCAATAGCACCTTCTTTCAATGTGAGTAGTTTGGAATGTGAGGATGTTACTGGTCGCTTCCCAGCTTATGGCTGCCTCTGCTGCTTAGCCAGAGATCTTAGCCTAAGAACAGGGCCTCAGACTGTCACAGTAAGAGAAGGTCCTTACACCGGCAGACAGTGATTTTGATTCTTTCTTTTATACCTCTATAACTAGCCAAGTGATAAGAATACACCTAAATTCTTAGAGTATAGGCCTTTACAGACAGGCCTGAATATCTATAGCCTAACACGAATGAAAACTCTTCTACTCGTTATCCATGCCACTGTCATCTGCTGATCGGAGTACTGCAGTGCTTTGTATGTGGGGGTGAGCCTTGAAGACCACAGGCCCTGACTCACTGGTGTTCATTGGCAAAGTCAGAAGAACTGTCATTGGCTATAAGCATCAGAACAGTAACATCATGCCACTTGGAAATTTCAGTTGCTGCAGGAGGTCGTTTGTTACTTGCTTAGAAGAACTTCTCATAGGAAACATGTTACTCTGCTGCCAATA